TGCCTTAAAATGCTTTGGGCTACTATTCAGGAAACCTCCAGAGTTTTCAGGGGCATGAGTGATAGGAAATCTTGAAGAGGAGGGGAGGTGTAAAAGTGTGAGAAGAACAGATGAAAAAATAGACTGATGTAGGTAGGGAAAGACAGGAGGAAGGGAAACATTCTCATTGAATGATCACAACATACGTAAGGAGGTACAAGGTATAAAGCAGGGTATGAAATACCTTACACTTAAACTACTATGTTTGCAAGAATATGTAAACCAAAATTGAAAAGAAACCTCTTTTTTGACAGAGAGGTGGTGGGGTGAAGACTAGAAAAGATACCTCTGTGTCAAAAGTCTCAGATGCATGCCAAGGGAACCTAGGGATGAGAAGATAAGACACGAGGTGCTCCGTCTGCTTAAACAGTGTTTAGACTATGTGATACTGTATTAAACTAGCCTGAATAAACCAGAACATTAAACTCTACCTGTATAAAAGTGACACTTAAATCATAGTTTTAATCAGCAATTTGAATTTTGTAAAATAAACTAACCTGAAGCATTATGTACAGTAGGAGAAGACAGGGAGCACTTCAACAAACTGGGCATTCACATATTCATGGGAGCGGATGGGATACCTCCAAGACTGCTGAGGTAGTTGACTGATGTCACTGTGAGGCTTCTCTCTCATTTTGGAGTGGTCACAGTGATTGGGGAAGTGTCATGATGACTGAGAAAGGGCAAACGGTATGCCCAGTGTCAAGAAGGACAAGAAGGGAGCACCTGGTGAATTACAGGCTGGCCTGCCTGACCTCAGTCTTCAGGAAGACTATGGAGAAAATCCTCCTGAAAACCATTTCCAAGCAAATAAAGGACAAAGGTGAGGTTAGGAGCAGCTCAGATGGATTTCCCAAGTGTGAACTGTGCGTAACTGATCGCCTTTTGTGGTAGGTGATTCTGTAAACAAGGGGAGAGCAGTGGACGTTGTTTGTCTTGACTTCAGGGGGGTTTTCGGTACAGTTTCTGTAGTGTCCTCTCAGCCAACTAGTGAGACGTGGTTTGGATAGGTGGATGGAAAATTGACTGGACTGCCAGACACACAGGTTTTTGATCAGCAGTACGAAGTCCACCTGGCAGCTGGTAGCTAGTTGCATTTCTCAGAGGTCAATACTAGGGCCAATGCTATTTTATGCCTTACTGACAGACGGGGACGGTTGGACAGAACACGCTGTCAGCTGGTTTGTGGGCAACATCTAACTGGGAGGAGTAGCCGGTAGGCTAGAAGGCAGGGCTACTCTTCAGCTGGACCTCTCCGTGCTAGAGAAAGGCTGACAGGAACCCAGTGAGATTCAAAGGCAAATGGAGAGCCCTGTGCCTGGGCGGGCGGGAAGCTGGCTGCCTGGAAAGCAGCTTTGCAGGAAAGGCCCCGGAGGTCTGGCAGGCAGCAAGCTGAGCGTGGGCCAGCAGTGTGCTCTTGTGGTGAAAGATGTCAACTGCACACCGAGACCTATCAGCAAAACTGCAGGCAGCAGGCCGAGAGAAGGGCTTTGCTTCTCTTTGGTATCTGTGAGACCGTATCTGAAGTACTGTGTTCAGTTTTGAACTCCCCAGTACAAGGAAGATGCTGCCATACTGGAGCAAGCCGGCTGGCAGTCCACCAAGAAAAAAAAAAAAAAGGAACTAGAATGCAAGATGTAAGCGGAAAAACTGGTACTGAAACCAGAAAAATGGTTTCCTCAGCCAAAAGAAGAGAAAGTTTATGGGAGATTGCTGTCTTCAGTTACCTGACAGGCAGCTGGAGAGGAGACAGAGCCAGGCTCCTCTTGGAGGCGCAGCGGAAGGACGAGAAGCAACAAATGCTGTCTGGAGCATGAGAAATTCCTGCTTGATGGAAGGAAAAAAAATCTTCATGTTGAGGGTGATGGAACCCTGGAGGAGCAGGAGGCTGAACTAGAGACCTCCTTGGGGTCCCTTTTAGCTTGAGTTACTTTGTGATTGTCAGATTTGACAGGAAGTGATACGGTATTGATATAGCATTGGAGAGAACATCAAGGGTCATTGACCCCTGGTCGTTGCCAGTAATGCAAGCAACTATGGCATAAACTTATTTCCTCCATTTTTAAATTAGTCAGGCTGTGTGTTTATGCTGATTGTCTTGGATCACTGTTTTAGAGATTCACTCCTGTGTTGCTTACAAACTGTTTAATTTTTTTACACAAGGTCCTAGTTACCTTCTGGTGTTGGTTGGGTTTTTGTGTGGGTCCCCCCCACCTTGTTTCCAGCATATGCTGGTTTGTTCTTCAGGGTAAAAATTCCTGTCTCTCTCTCTCCTTTCTCTCGCAAAGTTTTCACTTTGCTGGTGGGTTGATAAGTTCTGCTTGTTGCATAATGGGTTTTTCTTAAGATGTTTAATTCAGCCTGCAGGTTTGAGTGGGAAGAGAAATTCAGGTTTAAATCATTTAGTGTGAGCTAATTTTCTTAAGGATTTCTACTTCTAAGAAGTTGCATGTTTTCAGGGGCTTTAGAATTAGAAATACATATAAATCAGCTGCTGCTTTACCTATGCACACTGAGAATACAGAGAAGCTTTTAGTGTTGAGATTTTTTCCATGTGATTATCTTCCTAGACACACATCTTACATGTTGCAAACATATGTTCTTCTCCTATTTCTATGACTACAGTAATTAAATGATAATTAGCACCATCTCTGAGAGCTTGACTTTAATTTAATACAGTGTATCTTCTTTAGTGGAGAGGTTCTAATTTAAACTTCAGGTCATTTCTGCTTGATGAAAAAGGTTTTGATAGCCAGGATTTAAAGCAAAGATCCAGGCAAAGTTGTTTTCCTCTTGGCTTTATCTGCAGCTGGCTGCTTGTGTTATCATATGTGTCTTTCTAGTAAATGTTCCCTGGAAAAAAAATTGTTTGTTTCCCTCTGTACTTTTCGGGTCATCCCACTGAATTTAGTGTCCTGTTGTAACAATTGAGATTATTTGGGAAATGCTGGTATATGGAGATAGCTGCGCTTTTTTTTTTTTTTTTTTGAGGAGGTGAACGCTGGTTTCTCCTTTGAAAAGTGCTGTCTCTGAAGTATCTACATTTATATAGTCCTTAACACAGTAAGGCTCTGATTCATGATTACAGCTTTTACATCATGTTAGATCTGAGATAGCTGGGGTGTAGCTAACACTTTCTTTTTGCTAGGTTTAATTTTATTGAATCAGGTTCTTTAAAATTTACTAAGGTAAACTCTGATTAAAACCATGGTTTTTTTTAATCAGAAGTCAACCTGAAGTGGCAACTTTATTATTAGACTCAAAGAAGAATTATTATCAGATGAAACTTTGTTAGCAGTTCCATCGTATTTAATTTTGCAGCCTCCTTGGCCTGTCAATGGAAAGAGCAACGGATATGGAGGCTACTTTCTGGAGAAAGCTCTGAAAAGCTATTTCCTGAGCATGCTTTCCTGAAATATAAATATCTAACATACATTCAAGTTAATGTACCCTGCCTTTTGTGAGTAATACACATTGATGTAACTGCATAAATGTGTGAATAAAATTTTCATTCCAAAGTAGGCAGACTTCCAAGATGTCGTATGGAAACGTCTTTCTTACCAGCTTACATACAGTCCAGACCACCAAATTAATAGCTCCTGGGTTTTTACTGACTTGATACATAGCTGACAACCGCATGCCGTCTGCAGAGCTGAGGACAAATCACTCATAGTCTTTTGAGTCTGTTATGCCAAAAAATGAGGATCTCAGCACTCCAGGGTTACAGTCGATTACAAGCCGCTGCTTGAGGCACTATATATTTGCAACTAAATGCTGTGCTGATGCAGGCAGACTCTGGGTTTGAGCCACTATGCATCCTTCAGAGAAGCTCTGTGTGTGTGTGTGCTGGAGAATGCTGCCATTTTCTGATTGTTTCTTTGCTTCTCCTCTCTTCTGAAAATTGCAGAGGTGTGTTTAACTGTGCTCAGTGGCATTTTTGGAAGGATTACTGCTAAACCCGTTCCGGTGTCTCCATCATCACCAAGGATTTTGCCATAGGCCATGTGGAGTGGCCGTTGCTGAGCCACTGGATGGCATCACTGCATCCTTTTGGTTTTCATGGGTGTCGTACTCTTCAGGAACATCAGAAAGGTGCCAGCTGCCCAAACAAGAAAAACAAGCAAAAGAAATCATTTAAATAATATAGGGACAAAAACATTAGCTGTGCCATTGTAATTTTTCTCTTGCACTTTATATTAATTTGAGTAATGCTTGCTTATATCTTTGATATTAGTCCTTCATACTGTTCCATTCATGCAGAAGTGATAACACTGGTTAAATCAGATGCAGAATACACTCACCCATGCACAATAAACAATGCCAGTGTTAACACTGGAAAAAATTCCATGATTCTGTTGCTGAACACTGCCTTAATATTTACGCTACAAAGAGAAACCTTTATCAGACTTCAGCTGAAAAGAGACAAAGATGCAGTTGGAAGGCTGTGCTAATCAATCCTTTTGCTTTCTAGTGGACTGGGGATAGCATTCTCAACATACGTTTCAACAGAACCTATATGTTTGTGTTTTTCAACTTGTATCATCTCAGTATTCCTGTGAGGTTATCGTATCAGTCCTGCTGTTAGGGGAACTAAGAAACAGAAAGGCTAACGTGATTTGTAGTAGGATGCTAGGGAGGTCCTTATGCAGAGTATTGAAATCTAGATATCCTGACTTGTATCTTTGTATGTGGCCCACAAACAAAAAGAAAAAGAATTTGGGGAAGTTTTATCTTGCCCATTGTGTAGTCGCCCCTATGAATTAATGGTGCTCTTAAAGCTACTTCAAAGGCTGTATGTTTTTCAAAGTGGAGTTTCCATTTGAGAGTAATCTTGTTCTTGGGGAAAAAAAAATTATTCTACAAGATAGTTGTTTTTTTCTGTCCCTTTCTTTCCCCATCCCCCTTTTAATTTAAGTTCCCTTTTAAAACTGTATGGTCTTTTTTTATCTTATGTCTTCCAGAACAGTTTAATTGGGATGATTATCTGAAAGAGACTGAATCAGTAGCTGCCCCTCTACATTGTTTCAGACAGGTATGCCAGATACTATTTTGCAAGTGTGTATGTGTATGTATATATGTTACAGGATGATCCTAGGGCAACTTTTATGTTTAGACTGCTTGCAAACTTCCAATTTTACTTCTTTTGCTCTCTAGTTATCAGTAGCTTACAGTTTTGGCCAATGCTGGCTACTGAACTTTTTCATTCTTTGTTTCTGCCTGAAGTCAAACTTTGAGGTTTTCATTAAAATTGTAGCTTTGGACTCTATTTTCCTTTTAAAAAGACTAGTTAATGAAAACAGATAGTCTTATCAGAGTTCAAAAATATTTTCTACTTTTCTCAGTAATCTTAGAGGCACCATGGTTTTAGTGAGAATTAAAATTTGGCTGACTGTCAGAGGAGCTTTTCGCTTGCCCCATTTCTGAAAGAGTCCTTTCAATTCTGGCTAGCTACAAGATGTATATGTGTATGTGTAGTAGAGTTCATTCACCACTTCTTTTCTGGATCTCTCAAATATGTTGAATTTTGTGTCTTTCTGAGCAGGGTGATTTTTACTAAGCAGTAACAGATATTGAAGTTAAAAAAAAAAAATCAAGAGGAATACAAAGGAAATACTGGATTTATAATGAAGGGTGTTTAATGTACTATTTCATATTTTACATTGTGCACTACAAGTTTGATTCCCCGCTACCTGATGCTTTCATATGTATTTGCAGATGCAGTTTAAAACTATCATCTTGTGTGAGCTAATGACCTCCAGTTATTCAGCTCTCTGGAGACTGAGTCAACCTCTGCAGGCATCTTTCTTTCTGTAAAGGGAGCTGGGGGCTGGTATTTTCCCAAGTTGAGGAGTACCTTAGCTGCCTAAAGTTAAATAGGATGAGTTTTGGTCTGTATGCCTTCACTGTGTTAGCAAGATAGGTGCTGAAGGAATTGGGTAGTTCAGGTTGATAGAACTGTAATAGGTGTGACAAATAGTGCATGTCTAGTTTAGTGGATTGGGCATGTTCAAAAGTGTATCTTCTGGATTTGTTGGTAGTCTGATGGTACTGTAAATGACACTGGCCTCCAGTGGGGACCAAACAAAAAGCAGTATGAACGGAATAGTCTGATGAGGAGAGGAACCTTTACTCAGTGAATCTGAAGTAGTTGCAGGAATGGAGAATACGGAGAGAGAAATACAGGTGGTAGCATTTCCTTGTACGAGATCTTGAGTATCAGTGCTTTGCTCGTCAGAGATGAGGATAAAGAACAAAGAGCTCCTCACATGCTCCTTTCAATAAGAGAGGGCTAAGAATAGCAGTGACCATACTGTTGTTTGGGTAGAGCTTCAGGAATGAATTCTACCGTATGTGTCTTTCATAGTGGGTACCAGCTCAAGGCAGAAACCCCAATTCTGCTTGGGTAGAGGCAGAGGGCAGTAGCATATCCCTTGGTCACACTGAGATTAACGCCATACTCACAAGCCATAGACCACCATGACCAGAGTGCATGCTCCTGAGAGATGTAGCTACTGCAAGCTGCTCAGAAGCCCTTCCTCGTGCCTTTCTTGCATCTTCCTCTTCCCTGCTAATGCTCAAGAGCTCCAAACTAAACAGCTGAGTAGCACCTTAAATAAAGGCGCTTAAGTGACACGCGTTGACTGAGGTAGATAAATACAAGTGACCTAGATTGCTTAAGAAGAATGTGGGTTGGAAAGACGAGCTTTAATTCCTGTGTACAGCAAATTTCAAAACAATTTGCATATATAGACTTTCAGTTTTTCTAAGCATTGACCTTTAAGTAGAAAGTGATATGCAATGTTAATTAGTGCAGAGCTAGCTCCTTTCACTACATAATGTTTGCGGATTTTGGAAACTAAAGTGCTTGAGCTTTGTGTAGGACTAATTTGACTTTTATTGGGTTACATATACAAATTGTACATGTCATTATCACTCTGTGTAATGCAAAGAAATACACAGATGTGACCAGCCAGAAAACAAAATAGCAGAGAAGCTTAATTTGACAATTATATCCAGAATTTGTGACTTGTGGGAATTCTACAAAGTTTAAATTTTGTAGTAATTAAAAATTACCTGGGGAACAATAAATTAGAGCCTCTACCATAAATTAAGGTACAGGCACAGACAGCTAATGGAAATTGATTGAAATATTTGTCTTAATTTAGGAGATATTTTATCTGTTGCTCTAAGTTGTTTTTAATTACTACTTAGCGTTTTGATGCATTCCATATCCCTTTCTCTCACCCTGAAACCTTTTTTCAAGCAGCTGAAAATTTTCAATTAAGAAAAACGTCAACCTCTTGTGGTTTGAACAGAGCTTAAAACAAGACTGTTACTGACTGGCATGGAGGAGTTACTTTTTTAGTAGAATGCCTTGAGTTGTCAGTAGTTAAACAAGCTCACCTTTTCTACAACGAAAAAAACAAACAAATTCCTCAACTTCTCAGTTTCAGTTGCCTTTCATGGTTGTAGAAAATAACAGCTTGCCAAGCACTATCCTGAAATTGAATTGCCCTTTAAATTTAATATGCTCAGGCACCCCTTTCAGACAGCCTGCTGTCTAAATGCACCATTGGCAGATGCCACGCTCAGCGTTCACTGAATATTGCTCGCCTCTTTGTTTTTTGGGCTTGGCCTCCTCCGGCGCTCCTGCTCTTGATCGAGGGTGTGTTGCAAACAGGGCACCTGCACACCATAGTAAGTAGAGCAGGATGTATTTTAAAAAATTACATGTGGTGGAGACAAAATATCACTAGCACTTGTTGCAGTAGCGGATTTCTTCAGCCTTTTCCTCTGTACTGAGACAGATGAGTGCACCCTTACCTGGTTACTAAGGGATCTCCCCCTGACCTGGTTAGGCAGGCAGGCAGAAGGGACATACAAATCTTGTGAGCGTGAATGCCCATGGTTTTGGTTTTTCTAACCTGCCTCCCATGTTAGGATTCAGATTATGTTAGTCTGTCTGGGAGAGCTACTGAGTTTAAATATCATGGGGAGAGCTGCCTACAGTTCTCAGCATCTGTGTTCAAGAGCAGCTTTGTACTGGAAGAGTTGTAGAAAAGGGCTTCCAGGGTGATAGGAGAACCATAGAACAGTTTGGGTTGGAAGGGGCCTTTAAAGGCCCTCTAGTCCAACCACCCTGCAGGGAGCAGGGACATCTTCTACTCGATCAGGTTGCTCAGAATCAACTGCCTGGAACGTTGCCAGGGATGGGGCATCTACCACGTCTCTGGGCAACCTGTGCTAGGGTTTCACCATGTTCATGGTGAAAAAATTCTTCTATCTAGTCTGAATGTACCTTTTTTTAGTTTAAAACCATTACCCCTTGTCTTATTGCAACAGGCCCCGCTAAAAAGTCTGTCCCCATGTTTCTTATAAGCCCCCTTTAAGTACTGGAAGGCTGCAAGAAGGTCTCCCCAGAGCCTTCTCTTCTCCAGGCTGAACAAGCCCAACTCTCTCAGCCTGTCTTCATAGGAGAGGCTCATCATCATTCCAGTCCTCTCATGATTTTTGTGGCCCTCCTCTGGACCTTTTCCAACAGGTCCATGTCTTTCCTGGGTTGAGTGCTCCAGAGCTGGATGCAGGACTCCAGGTGGAGTCTCACCAGAGCAGAGTAGAGGGTCAGAATCACCTCCTTTGCCTTGCTGGCCACGCTGCTTTGGATGCAGCCGAGGATATGGTTAGCCTTCTGGGCTGCGAGCGCACATTGCTGGCTCCTGTCCATAGTCATTATCTCCTAAGAGAAACTTCAGTGCTTGGCTTATTTAAGTTGTTGAAAGAGCACTGAGAAAGGGTTGGGTTGCCCTCTGTAAATACGCTGTAGATTTTGTTATTTGTAGAGGTGCAAAAAGAATTTAAGTTAAATGATAGTGTTGGCAAAAATTTCCATGAACAACTTCAGGCTGGACATGAGGAGACATTTAAAGAAAATAGTGAGATTCTGGAATAATCTTTCTACACAACTGAGCCAATTCAATCCCAGTTAGTGTTAATACAAAATTCTGAATGTCATTAGATGATGTTATTGCCTGCAATACTACAGTAGGCAAGTAATCAGACTGCAATCCAGCTGATCTCTGCCACTAGTGTGTTGATACATGAGTGAAAAACATTCTTCTCTCTTCTTCATCTTCAGCTTGTGACAAAAGGTTCTGCTCAAAGGCCCAAGTTGCATTCGTCATGTTTCTTTTTTACTGTGCCAGTCTTGCTCAAAAAATCTAAATTGGCTTTTCATTTTATGTGTGTGAATGCATTCAGTTATCTATGAATAAGCACAAGCTTCAATTTTTGTTTTAGCACAGTTGTTTTTTTAATGTGACTTTAGGACTGTCTGTTTTCTTTCTGTAAAATGCATTTAATGCTAACTCCTTTTTCTGTCGTCTTTCTTTGTATTGTAAGTTTTCTCGTGATGCAGAAACTCTTCCTTGCTTTGAGCATTTGTAGTGTCTAGTACAGTAGGGTCCAAATTTTGTTTGAATTTCCAAGATATTACTATAATGAGAATAACGGATTCTTTTGAATTGAAAGCTACTAAATCTTGTGGTCTGTTTGGTTTTGGTTTTGTGGGTTGGTTTGGTTTTTATTGGCTTTTGTTTGTTTTGTTTTGTTTTTTTTTTTTTTTTTTTTTTTGAGTTGAACATCATTCCTGATGTTCTTAATTTCCCTTCACTTCAAGTATTAATCACTGCTCCCCCATCGTTATGTTCATATCTTCATCAGGATTCCCTTGTTACCCTTCTTAACAGTGCTTATCTTTTTAGAAATCAGTCAGTCATGTTTATGCAGTAGGAACATCAAGTATCTGAAGTGGTAGCTGTTGGTAGGTTATCCAGCTGCCTTTTCTGACTTGCTGCTAAACACTCAAAGATCAAAGGCTTCTTTGTATTTACCATTTATATGATGAGTTTGGATGAACGAAAGCTGTGTATTGAACCATCTGGTATAGCAATACTAACAACAATAAGAAAAAGTCTTTTACCTTTTATTGTAGTCTAGAATTCCACCTACGAACGATTTCAAAGTTGGTATGAAACTGGAAGCCCATGATCCTCGCAATGTTACCTCGATTTGTATAGCTACAGTAATTGGAATCACTGGTGCCAGGCTAAGGTTGCGGCTGGATGGAAGTGACAACAAAAATGATTTTTGGAGGCTTGTGGATTCCTCGGACATACAGCCCATCGGGACCTGCGAAAAGAAAGGGGGCATGCTCCAGCCTCCACTTGGTAAGAAACAAAGCTTCTGAACTAATGTGTATGGAGTGCTGCTTTCATGAAGTCCATTTTACCTTTTTGTCTTGGCAAATTCAGTGGTACTAGCGTTTCACCAAACCATTGCTTCATTGCAAAAGAGGTAAGCAAACTAATTTGGGCTAAGTGCATTGTGGCTTTTTCTTCTTTTGGATTCTTTTGACGTAGGAATGAGCAAAATCATTAGTCTGAGTTCTGCTATTTTTTTTTAATACTCCCTTAATGTTAAATGGGCATGTCTGACAGCTTTCTTCATGATGAGATGCACTGTCATGTGCCCATTCTATAAGTGTTCCCTCATACGCACCCTGTCTTATAGGTACGTATTGTCACAACGTTTTCTTGCTTGATGCTGCTCCTTGTAGTAGAACTTCTTACAAGCTGGGGGGGAAACCGGACTTCCCTTTTTCCTCCTCAGTAAATCAGAGCGGCCCACTAGAAGGCGCTCGCAGTTAACCGACCTGTGCAACGCTCTGCTGGGCTTCAGGAGGTGCATCAGTTGAGGATGGTCTGGGCGTTTTCTCGGGCACTGAGCAAATTGGTTGTGGTCTGGGAAAGGCAGCATAGGGTAGGCTAACGGTGGTGTTGCAGCAGTTTGCTCTGAGGTAGGAAAAATAACACTCCAGAGCTTCAGCAAACTGCGGGTTTATATCGCATGTGATTCTCATCTCCTCAAATGGGCACACACTGGAGGGATGTCTGACCAGTTTGTCCTGAGCACGATGAATGCTCGTGAGCAAGATGTAGCTTTCCTGTGCTTAGCAACAGTAGGCAGAATTTCTTTTGTCTTCCTTGAACAATATGGGTGACAACATTATGTGTCTCCCCAGCCTGAGAAATAGTGCTTGGGCTTAGTCTTATTGAGGAAGTTTATTAAACGGAGAACTGTACGAAGGAATTCCTTGCTATATGATGAACAGTCAGAGGTAACTTTGATTAACTGCTGGGGTAATGTAGGTGTTATATCACTTTTCTGTTCTGTGATTAATCTGTATATTTAAATCTTCATTCCTGTACCATATTTATTATAGCTTAAACTTCTACGTGTGGAAATATTTAAAGAAACACATTTTTCACATTGGTCTGAAAACCGATCTGCTTTTAAAAAGAAGGAAAAACAATGAATGACATTTATCTTAAACCTTCTCCCCCCTGCTCCCCCCCAAAAACCAACCCACAACAGCAACACCCTTTCCCCTGTGATCTTGTTATCTTCTGTAGTTTTTAGGAGATGCAAGCAATAATGTTCTTACATTAAGAAATTAACTGTAAGCAGATATTGGTTACTGCTTGTTTCCCGTCTTACAGTTACAAACCTACTTTTGGTTTGGTGTCATCAGCAGCATTTACAAATGAGAAGACAGAGGTGCAGTTAAGATAGGCATGATTTCTCTTAGTAGCCTCTCAAAAAACTTGTCAACCCAGCTTGTTAACAACTTTCAGATCTTCTGTTTGAAAGGTGAAGTGAAAAATATTTCACTACAGTATGAGATTTGATTTGCTTGTAGAGGGGCAAACAGATACAGCAGCAGTTGACATAACCATTAAGACACTTCACATAGATTATAAAGGTAGATTTCTGTGCTGTTGTGCTGCTTTAGAAACACAAGAAAAGCAATGCAACCAGAGTACCAGTCTGGAAGAATATTATTTGGGAGGGAGGGAGGGAGGGTTGGGTAGATAGATAGGTAGATAGATAGATGCAGTTTGAGCCTAGAAGAGCTTCTTTCTTTCCTGTGGATGTATAGAGGTTTTGAATGAAAGCACTGGAAATTCTTGACACCTAAGGGAAAAGTTACTCGGTTTAACCTCTCTGAAGTTCTTGGTATAATCTTGTAGAATTAATGCAGTGATATCAGTATGAAAGAGGATTGTAATAGAGAAGAGTATACCTATTCCTACACATATGTATAGTGTTAAATGCATGGCTTCTGTTCAGGAGCATAGTGCTTTTTTAAAACGTTTCTAAACCAGCCCGATGAAAACAACTCTGGTTATGTATAATGGGGGCAGTCAGTCCATTAAGAAGAAAAACTTTCCACAGTCATCAGTAGAAAGGTTGAAGTCTTCTCTTCGGATACTGTTTCTTACTTCTATTTGGTCGGGCTGCTTGTAGTGCAGCACCTAACAAGTAGCTGTTTCCCTGCACCCAGGCACGTAAGTTTACCTGCCCTCTGAACAGTTGCTGGTTATTCAGAAAAGAATGTGAGCACCATTATTTTCTCTCTCCTGCCCTAGATTTTTCTAGAGATAGGCTAAATTCCAGCAATCAAACATTCTGGCATACCTAGATAAATTTTTGAAAAAGCCTTTTTGGCAGTTTTACAGCATCCTGTTCCTGGGCAAAGCTGGGAGCTAATTGGGTGTATAATTACCTCCTGTTAGACATTTAAGCAACTGATTATTTTTTTTCCCGAGTAGTAGGGAACCTTCTGGATACTAATGTTATGCTTCTTTTATAACAACAAGCTAAAATAGTCCCTCCTACCTGATTTTTACATAGCTTTAATAGTGTATGTTACATCAGGGTTTTGAGAAAGTGATTAATGTAGCAAATGGTTCCTGTTCCAGCCTCTGTTTTTCATAGGTGAGCTTTTTTGTTGTTGAGAGCTTAGTGTTCCCAAAAAATTATGTTGAGGATAACATTTTCTCTGGTTTTACCAGGACAACTTAAAGGCCAAATGAAGTTAGTTGAAACTGTTGTTTAGTTGTTATTCCTCTGTCTTACGTATATGTCTTTTCTGGTCCAGCTGGTTAGGAATGTGGTGTTTCCGTAACCACATGTGTTTAGATTCTGTAAATACTCTGATATCAAACCAAGACTGATAATCAGTTCAGCAGTCCTCAGGTTATAACACCATTTCTCAGATGTGAGCTTTGTTTTCATTTCCTTTTGCATGGGTAGTTCCAACTTGAAAACTGTTTATTCAACTGAAGATAACTTAAAGCTACAAGTTAAAGAACTATTATGCTATATGATCCAATTTTAGATGACTTAATGATTTAACTGATCAAGTATTGCAAATATGTTCCACCTTTTTAGTTACTTTTTTTTTTTAAGAGAGTAGTCAAGACTTGGTTATGAGGGAACTCATCAGTTCCTGGCAGATTCTGGTACTATTTGCTTTGTGGGAAAATTTCCAATTTGCTCTATTATGTCTGTTTTTCTGTAGAACTGTGCCAGACATATAACTGCCAAAGATGCAGAAAAATGCCAAAGATGCAGAAAAAATGCCCACTATGTCTGTTATCTTACTCATTACTTTGAAACATCCATTTGGAAAACACAGAAAGCAAAAGGGATTTTTGTTTTGGTTTGTGTTTTTTTTAACTGGGAAGATTATCTGGAATGAGAATATTTTTCAGCCAAACTTATGTTCTGCTTGAATAAGGTAGTTCGTCTAAACAAAGTTGATTATTGTTTGTGCTTTTTATTCACTTGTTCATAAAAATTAAAATAGAAACATCTTCCAGTTTATGTTTTCCAATATGATACATGCATTTATCAAAAAAAAAAAAGTATTTTTGTTCTTCCCTGTTAAGTGCTGTTTGTTTATTAAGGCTATTTATTTATTAATTTTAATGGGGGAGGGAGTAGAAATTGATTGTTGTTTGGGGGTTTTTTTTAATTATTTTCGAGATGGTTGTACCTCAGTAAATGAAAGAAGCTGGAACAGAGGATGTTGTTTTAGAATGAGAGCAAAAAGCGCACCTGAAAAGTAAGCTAGGCACTTGTGCTGGGGAAATTCCACTGGGCCAGGGTCTCTGTGGGACAGCCTGATGATCTCCTGTACTGGAACTGGCATGTTGTTAAGTCCTAGATCTTTATCTGTAAAATCACAAAATGATGATGAGTCATTCTGCAGGCAAGTCACTCAGAATGGAGGATCATTGCACGTCGTTCAGCACTCACAGCAACCCTGTTTGTTCCTTCTTGGCTGCCTTTATTTTGGCCAAGTCCAAATAAAGGGGATCAGGCATTAGGAAGACAGACTGTAGATCCTTCTCCTCCTACTTTGTTTTACAGACTGAAAATAGGGCTATTAGATACAAATAATTTATTTGTTACTCAGGGTTCCAGATGAATGCATCTTCTTGGCCAATGTTTCTCTTAAGAACTCTCAATGGAGCTGAAATGGCACCTGCAGCATTCTTTAAGAAGGTAAGAAGAAAGGGACTGCTAATAAACAACTTTCTATCAATTGGTGCATGGTTACATTTTTTTAATGAGGATGCCAGGATACTACCCTGTTGTCTGCAGCACATGAAAGCAAGACTATTATTTAAAATGACTTTGAATTGGATTGGCAAGCTACAAAGCTAGACAGGAAGCGATCTGCTTCTACTCCATTGAGATGGGCATCTCTTTTCCCGACTTGAGACTTTGAAGTATGGCATATTATTTAGAAAAATTGTGTTAGTTCATTTTTTGTGTCTCATGGATTTAAGATAAAATGCGTATCACATTTCTTAACAGCACCATATTCATGTGATTGTGCACAGGAGTAAAAAAATTTTAATGGGCAATAAAAGCCATTGGAATACAGTAGTGCTTGGAAAGGTTTTGTTAAATGTTTTCATTGGGCACATACTCATCACTTAGAATAAAAAGCTGTTCATTTTTCTTAAACATGACTCTTGAGTAAGTTGCTGTGAAACATGAAAAATTGCATAAAAACAACAATAATATTGAAACGACTTGTTGGTTCAATTTTTTGTTGAGGTGGTAAAGCCTTGCTGTCACACTGTAAGTTCATTTTTGATACTGAGAGTGACATTGAAAAGTATGCCAGCATATGTGCTAACTTTATATAATTGCAGAAAATTTTTATGCAAAATTTTTCTGAGACATGATAAACCATGTTTCCCCATGCTCGCCTACCAGCACACGTGAGATGGCTTTTGGATAACGAGGATTCCTGAAACTGAGGTGGTAATTCAGGTTGCATTGGGTCACAACTCCTGTTGCAGGGGTGTGCTTATGCTGGTCACATTGACTTGATTTTTTGTTATTCTTTTGTCCACTTGGAACTCCTCTAAGGCCAACTGAGTTAAGAGGCCTATAAATAATGTCCAGTGCTAATGAATTTTTCATGGATTAATTGGGAGGTGAAGCTTTTACCAGACAGTTATCAGTCCCCAGAAATATCCATTCCCTGCAAACCTTCTTTTCTTTATTAACATGTAATAATTTCATTTTAGTGTCTTTGCTGTCCTGCTGCCCAGACATAATGTATTGGGTGCAACCTTCTGCTTATGTAAATACTTTTAACAGGGTCTTTGTCATGGGGAATTTTGCTAATTATCCCAGCTGTGTGTGTAGGAACAGAATTTAGATTTTTATAAGACAGAAGAGCAAAAGCAAATCTGAAATATGAGTGAGTTTCCTTGAACGTCGTCTATAAATTTCTGAGAGTACTGAGCATAAAAAGTAAGGATGTTCAAGAAAACTAGAGGTTTTTCTCTTTTCTAAATTTTTAAGAAGCCGTAGAAATACAAATATTTTTACCACTCTTACTTTTGTAGGAACCACCAAAACCTGTGCCAAACTGCTTTCAAGTTGGAATGAAGCTTGAAGCTATAGATAGAAAGAACCCATACTTGATTTGCCCGGCAACCATTGGAGATGTTAAAGGAGACGAAGTTTTTGTTACATTTGATGGCTGGAGAGGAGCATTTGACTATTGGTGCAGATGTGATTCTCGAGATATTTTCCCAGTTGGATGGTGTAGCTTGACAGGAGATGCATTACAACCACCAGGGAACAATGGTAAGATGACTAATAATATTGCTTAATTATTTTCCGCCTCAATTACAGCAGAATTTTAAAACCCAGCTGCCTGTATGCAGATAAGACTGAAGATTTGATTTGCGAGTAGCTGATGAGGATGAAATGTTGTTAAATTTTCTTTATGTAGTTTAAAGTGAATGGAATAGTTTCTGGGAAACAATTTTTGACTGTTCATAGTAACTCTGGGAACATGTTTTATTTAATAGTGTTAGGAGGGCTTTTGATAATCTTTAATTTTTGTGTGCTTATGAAGAATCTTGGACTTAAACTAGATTTGCTGTTTGTATTATAGTTAAATGCTCCTGTTTAATGATACTAATATATTTGCTGTAGCAGCACTTTATATTAAGCTAACTGCTAAGAAAATAAAGGAGTTTCTGCTTCTATGATTGAAGGTTTACACTACATATTTAGTGTTTCTTCCTTCATACTCACAAAGTTCTGTCTTGAAGCTGCCCATTCTGAATGCTTTATCATCCTCATACCTTTAAGGATGTTTGTACATAGGATTATAGAGTCCCTTTAACTAACAGCCACTGTGCTTTATAATGTACAGCTACCTACCTTAGAAAGAAGTGTAATGGAACAGAGGGATATCCCTGGATGTAATCCCTCTGCTACTCTGGGGACCTCTTTTTCTGCAGTGTAAGGCTTTTCCATCAAAAAGCTCTTCTAGCCTCACTCCCTTCAAATTTGACAGAAAGAGAGGTTTTTAAAGAGGGGAACTGTATTTTAAGTAATTACTTTAATGTTGTTGACTAGAATAACTTGTCCTCAAGCATTGAGCATTTTCATGGCTGGTGTTAGGTAAGGAACGAGTAGACTGGTATCACAGAACTCTCACTGGAAGTACCAAAGGAACAGAAGCAAGAAGGCAAGAAATCAGTCATGTTTCTTGCCCTCTCCATCCCCATTGCTTTTCCTCAATCTTTTGCCAGCAGGTCAAGAACCGTATGGAAGAATTACATGAAATTAGTTAGGGGTACCTCTGCATCGTTGCCCTCACCTACCTCTCTGTAGTTACTGTCTGCAGTGACTGCAGATGGTCATAGGAGCTGTAACCTAGTTCGTTTTGGTGGATTTCAGCAAGGGAACAATTATGTGTGTGGCTGTACTGGCAGATCATCCTGGATGTGCCAGTACAAATCTGCAGGGGAAAGTCAGGTGAGAACAATGTACATTTGACCAGAGGTCATCTAATAGGTTTCAAGCTGACTGCAGCCTTAATGCTTCTGTGTTCCCAATCTGTGAAGTGTCTTTCTCAGCTTCTTCAGAAGCTTGACCTTGACTTGAGAAATCATGAATGATATGTGGTGTTATGGTAAGTTAATTATGTTAATTGTGGTGAAATAAAATGGGTTTATACAAAAGGGGCTGTGTATATAAGTGGCATAATTGGCATAAAATTTTTAGAAGATATCATTGTGACAGTTTAGATTGCTGAGTCCAATTGCATCTTCTGGAAAGAAGTGTTACTAAATTGTTTAGTCTACTCCAGTTTCAGTCCTGGAAAATGCAGTGTTTTGAGATAATATGTACAGAATCTTTATTGCCTGATTTAGTACTTGACAGAGATAAAAGAGTTGTTTAACAATTAAAGTTGATTACATATTCCAGTTGTTCAGATAATAAAATGAACAAGATTCTTAAGTATGTTCACAGTACCTACCCAGTACTAGTGCAGTACCTACCCAGGTATTTTTACGGATTCCATTGCTTTGTTGTTGAAAAACAAAAACACTTTAGGCATTAAAACCTGAAGCAAGGTTCTTACAGACTTGAAGTCAAACCTGAGCATTTTGGACATGTGATAGAAACTGGGAGTGGGGAGGTGCAGGTTGGGAATTTCATTATTTTTAATTCTAAAAGTGAGCCCAAAGTTAACTGCAGTTTCATTAAAATTGTATCTGTTCCCTTTTCCCCTATTCTGAGCATAAAGAATTTGTTCTTTCAATTTTGCTTCATGTGCTTATTTTTATGTGCTTCTTGTGCATGTTATATGCACTTGTCAAATTTACATGGCTAGAAGAAATATTTTTTGCTCTCAGGGTATGTTTTTCACTGTTATTTAATCGCTTTAGAGCTATTAAAGAACTGTAATGATAGTCCTTTATTAAGATGTAAATAATAGCTTCAAGGAGAGTGTAATCAAGTCATTTCAGTTCAGAAATATGATAATGTTGTCAGGATTCTTCATTAAGTCGCATTAACATTGACTGCTCCTGTTAAGGAAGAAACTATGACAGATACTGGATTGTAGGGATTCAGTTGAAATATTATAGTAGTATTCTGGCCTGTACTTTTTTCCTGCAGGTTAGTTTAGGATTTCTGCCTTGAATCACCACATTGGAGAGTGAAAATAATTGACTGAATGTGGCTTAGATTTCAGGGTGGATATAGTGGGAAGTATTCTTGATTTTTGTAACTACTTTTTCTGAAAGCATTTAACTGTTAAATCCCTAGTTAAAGGACTGCCTCACCCCCCTGTTTTAGTTACCAATATTACCAAGCAAAACCAATATCCTGCAATGTAAGTTATGAAGGCAATAAATTATGCCTTAAATTTCATCCATACCTAGGACAACAATTTCCTGCCATGAGACTTATATTTTAGGGTCTAATTTATCCCTTTGAAAGAGAGATGAAATGCATTAAGGGAGACAATATGAAAATTAGGGAAGTTTTTATTTTGGCTATTTTGCTGTCTTAGCCATTTAGAATGCCTAGAGAGAATGTACAACCTCTGTCATAGGAAGCTTTTAAGAATGGTTGAAACACAAGCTTCTTAGGTATGGGTGAATTTATTCAGAACAGATTACATGGTACGTTTATTCTTTATAGCCCTACCTTCTGTAACTCTCATTGGTTTTGGAAAGATAAACTCAGGAACTAAGACAAAATTAATAGAAGATAAAATGGAGAAGGTAGGTAAAAAGTTGCTTTGGACCAACTTTTTTAACATTCAGACCTTAATCTTCATGTTGATATTTTGTCTTTGGTCCTTATCGGAAAATGTGACTTAGGTGGACTTGGCTGGGTGTATGTGTACGGTGGCATGAAATGTAGCATTCAGTATTTATGCTAGCAGAAGCTGTGCTTAGCTAATATTGTTGTTTGTTTCCTTAGAAATACCTCTGATGATAGTAATTTGTTATGTATGGTTTGACAACAGTGCTTGATGTTGGCTTGGCCAGCTGGCCCAAGGTTAGTATTGCTGGCCCAGTGATGCAGTAGATTGTTTTCTCTGTGTCTCTTGGTCACTTAAGTGCTTTTAGAGATTACTTGTCACTCAGGAACTTCGATGTAAACTATAGCTGGTGAAAAAAGTTGGCATGATAGGTCTATGATGGATCAGTCTGTAGAACCATCCGCTTTAGCAGGCGTTCTCCAGCAGTGGCTGAAAGCAGATGTCTGAAGAAAAGTATAAGCACATAGGAGAGGTTTGCAGAAGTATTCCTAATATCTGGCTGTCTACAAGCCCAGAATAATGCTTTTATTCTGGAGGAATAAAAAAAATATATATTCTGGAGGAATTTTTTTTTTTTGGAGGAATTAAAAAAAATATTTTGAAGGAATTAAAAAAATATATATTCTGGAGGAACAAAATTTTCCTGGAGGAGCTTGATATATTTTGATTATATTTTGGAGCCATCTGGGCTTTTAGCAGCTACAACATCCTGTAGTAAGGAGTTCTGTACTTGAGTATATATGTTCTGTGGAAACAGAGATAACCCTTTTTCTTGCTGGTAGTTTCATTTGTTGTCCTTGTGTTTTTGTGTTGAAATAGCTTCTTGTACTTCCAGTACTTGTACAGGAAGAGACAGTAAATAGTCATTCCCTAATTGCTTTCTTCATATCTATCACGATTTTGTAGACATATACTTTAGCTTCCCTCAGCTATCTGTATTCCAAATTTGTGAAATCCTGTTCTGTTTCATTTTTGCTTGTTATGGGATCAGTTTAATTCCTCTGATCACCCTTGTTCTTCCATACTGTTTCCGTTTCAGCTATGTAACTTTTGAGCCACTGGAACAAGACGTGCACAAGGTATTTAAGATTTAGTGGCATTGTGGTGGTTTCTGTTTTGGTTCCTGTTCCTTCTATAATTATTCATGAATTGGTGTTTGGGATTTTTGGACTACTGCTGAGCAATGAACTAATACTGTCATAGAAATATGTATTGTAATTCTAAGATCTCATTTTTGTATACATTAGCTAAGAGCCCATCATTGATCAAAGAAGCTGGATTATTTTGAATTAGTTGACATTGAATTTCATCTGTTACTTCCTCTGCTAAGCAACTGCTCACCTTTACAAGATCTTTTTATACATCCTTACTGAATTGTTCAGTAGTTGTTACCATCTCATGCTTTACTCTTTTCCTAGATAGTATATGAATTGAATGGCACAAGCCCAAGCAGAGATCTCATCAGGATTTCTCTAGAGTCCCCTCTCAACTGTAGAAACATGTCTGTTTGTTCCTGGCCACTGTTTGGTATTTTACAATAAATTCTTTAGAAGGATTGTGAGGATCTTCCCTCATATCCGTTGCCAGCTAAGGATTTTCTTAAGAGACTGTGGTGTGAGATCTTGTGAAGTGCAGACCCACAGGCCACATCAATTGACTTTCCATTGTCTGCTTGCTTATTGACTCCTTAATAAAAATAAAAAAAAATTTGTGAGATGTGACTTTTCTCTGCAAAGGCTATGATTGGTTCTCCCCCAACACATTGTATTTATCTTTGGGTTCACTATCTCTGTTCTGTACAACATCTTTTAGCAACTTGGCCACTACAAACATCAGATGCCCTGCCCATACTTTGCTGGCTAAGTGTTGGCATCACATTAATGACCTTTAAGTCTCTGAACTTAAGGCAATTTTAAAGATAAACCTGCACAGTACTCTCAGTAGGTTAGACATTTAATTTTTTCATATCCTGAAAACTCCTAAGTGCTATATGTCCTGCAAACTCTCTACT